GGGGGGCGTGGATACATCACCGGGGAGGGCACTGGCTACCTTACTATCCAGTGTCCGAGCTTGCTTCCCATGTGGTTGGGGGGGGGGAGCCGGCCTGGAGGGGGGTGACACCGATCGGCTGCCGCCCGCGAGGACATGGCTCCGAAAGTGCTGCTGGCGAGGACGACTGATCGGCGGCTGTAGTCTGGACTATCGGGCCCCCACTCCCGGTACTGGCCACTCCCTGTGTTCCTCCCTCCCTCCCTCCCTCCCTCTCTCCGCTCAACCCCGCTCTTCCCACCACTTCCACTTTTCCCACTCCCCATCCCGGAGCTCCGCCACGTGTCAAGTTCGCGAGGATGTCTGATAAGCAGCTCCTCCCTTCCCGGGCTGTCGCCGCTCCCGCCGCCCCAACGAGTGACGATACCCACGCCTCTTCTGAGGCCGCTCGCCAGCCGCGTGACGTCAAGGGCCTCCTCCAGTGGTCCATGCAGTATGTTGAGGATGGCTTCGACCCGAATGTCCAGCCGGCGGTCATCGATGAGGAGCGTCTGCGCTTCCTCGAGCGGGCCATCGCCGAGGTGTCGATCGACGTTGTGACGGCCATGCGCAACTGGACCGTTGTGGCCCTGGGCGAGGCGGTCATCCCGGCGACTGATGCCAAGGCGTCCACCCTGGTGGAGGGCACCCCTTCGGAGGACGATCGTCTCGATGCCCTGGAGAGCCTGATGAACACGGTTGACAAGCTGGACGATGCGCGTGGTGCGTGTGATCGTCCTCTCTCTCTCTCTCTCTCTCTCTCTCTCTCTCGGAGGGTCTGACTAATGCCGATCCTTTTGCCCACTTCCTCTAACACCTCTGCCCTCCCTCGCTCTCCCTCGCTCTTCCTGATTCTCTTCCCCTCTGGCTCTTCTCTCTTCGCCTCCCTCTTTCGTACCTCTCCTCCCTCATTTCCCACGTTCTCCGCGCAGACTTCATCACCATCGGCTGCTGGGACCGTCTGCTCCATGGCGTCCTGCAGGCGGATTCCGACGCGCCTGCTGCCGTTCGCGTGGCTGCTGCCGAGGTCCTGGCCACTGCCAGCCAAAATGACCCGGTTTGCCAGGCGTATGCTCTGAAGCCCACGGCTTCGCCCCTTGCCGATGCCAATGCCGATGTCCCGACCACCGGTGAATGGTCCGCTCTCGATGCATTCGTCCACATGGCCTTCGACCAGGCGGACGCCGAATGCCGGAAGAAGGGTCTCCTCGGCATTTCGGGTATGTGTCCCCTTGATGCTCCTCTTGCTGTGTGCTCATCTCGTCGCGTGCAAGCCTCCGTCCTGCCTCCCCGACTCACTTCGAGCCATGTGTCCCGACATTCCCCCGATGCGCCATGCGCCGCTGCTCCGATCTCCTTGCGACTGTCCTCCTCAGCGGTTGTGCGCGACTACGAGCCCGGGCTCGAGGCCTTCATCACGTACCAGCTGCCCGCGGCCCTGGCTGGCCCTGGCGGGAGCTCCCTCCCCAGCGGCGCGACAATTCTGCACGAATTGATCCGGCCTCATGAGCTCAACTCCACCAGCGTCCGTGCCAAGGCCCTCTTCCTCCTTCGGCACCTGATCTTTTCGCGGCCGGCGTCCATGATTCCGGCCGGTATGTTACACTCCCTGCTCGGGTCTGCCACTTGCTCTTCGGCCCCAGTTCCTCTAATCCCTCCCCCCCTCTCTCTCTCTCTCCCTCTCTCCCTCGATGCCATTCCACAGTGGCCCAGTGTGGGCTTCTGGACGAACTCCTGGCCATTGCCACCAGCCTCGAGGGCACGTATGCCGAGATGGCCTCCACCAAGGAGCCCTCCGAGCCGGCGGTGGCCCAGCTGCGCGAGCACACGTTCATGGTGCTCGCGCAGATCTGCAACCCGCAGGCCGATCACCTCCCAGGCGATGCCGGGGTGGCATTCCCCTCGTCAGCCGAGGTGGCCGCCCTCTTTGACCAGGGTGGCGAGGGGTCGCGGCGCGCGCGCCTGGATGGGATCCTGACCGCGCGCGAGGCGGCGGTGGCCCCTCTGCCGACCGACCTGCAGGAGTCCATTCGCGATGAGTCGGCCTTCGCGGCCACGCTCCGGCGCTTCGTCGACACCAAGCTGCATGGCGCTGGTGGGTCCTCTCTCTCAGCTGCCTGAGTGGCTGTTTGTTGTAGGTGTTTGTGGGTGTGGGTGTGGGTGTGGGTGTGGGTGTGTGTGTCTTTTTTTTTGTTCCCCCTCGTGTGCCGATGTACCTCCAGCCACTACGCCACACCACCCCTGATGCTTTCCTTCGCCCTCGCCTCGATGGTTGCGACACGCATGCCTCTGTCCACTTGCACAGTGTATCCCACCAAAGCCACAGCATTGGGCAGCAATAGAAATCCTCCATACTACATCACCCACCAAAGGAACGAAGGCAAGTGCACCGGGGGGGGGAGGGGGGCATTTGTGTGTATAACTATATTGCTTTTGCCGGTGAGGACACACTGGGGCAGGTCGGGGGGGGGGGGGGTGTGGTGGTGGTGATGAAAAAAAAAGAAGAGTACAGGTGCACGGGAAAGGGGGCTGGGCAGCTATCGCTCGACGCAGGATGGAAGAAAAATCCCACGCCAAGTATTTGCTCGGCCGGAGTGGTGGCCAGGTGCGCTATCCCCCTCCCCTTCCTGTCTCTCATCCTCTCACTCAAGGTACTCCTCGACGGAGATGGACTTCATGGAGGCGGGCTGCTTGAAGGTGGCCAGATCCGATTCAGAGGTGTGGCTGACGGTGTGCAGGTACTTGATGATGCGGTTGAAGTGCTGCTTACTGGTGGCGGCCTTCTGCAGGCAGTAGATGGACTCCTCGTAGGTGTCCGCGTGGTCATCCTGGTCATCCTCCACCAGAGAGGTCGGCGAGTTGAACTGGTCACGGATCATCTTGATGAGAGTGGAGATCTTGGACTCATCCGTCTGGGAGGCGGACCACGCGCACCCGGGGAGGGAAGACGAGCAGGAAGCACGAGTCTAAGTCAGTGAATGCCGAGAGGAAAGAGACAGGGCAAGGGCGGGCGAGAGGGACGAAGAAGAGGAAGAAGCAGCACGGCGACAGGGCACAAAAACGTACATCCGGGAACTCGGTCTGCGCGTAGTACACATAGCGATCCAGAATGCGAACCAGCGGGGTGATGTTGACGCTGAGGTTGCTGGACTCCACGTGCGACTGGACCGTCTCGTTGAGGATCTTGCGGCAGCCGGCCGAGTCGTGCACGCGGTTGGACTTGAAGTCCAGCTTCGGCACGGCCGGGGTGTCCTCCTGCTGCCAGGCCAGGTGCGATGAGAGCATCAGGCAGAGGGTGCGGTTGGAGGACTGAAGCATGCCGGAGGCCTGGTTCTTGAAGAAGCGGATGAGCTTGGTGTAGTTGCTGCTGCTCAGGGACCGGGTGGCCTGCAGGGTGGACACCATGCTGACCAGGGTGGACACCTGGATCTGCGAGTCGGAGATGGCCTTCTCATAAATGGAGCCCACCTGGGTGAACACCTCGTAGACATAATCCTCCAGCGAGCAGCGGTCCGCCATCAGGGCAATCTGCAGGTAGAGGTTGATGGTCTGGCTGTGGTAGCGCATCACCTGGGCCGGGGTAATGGAGGACCGGTCGACGGAGCCCATATCACGCACGGCGGTGCTAATGGCCTTGGTGCAGGAGACGGCGAACTTGAGGAAAACAATGCACTGGTTCTCCCACTCGTCATCCTGTGCGTGTATGCACGAGCATGCGTGGGGGGTGGATGCGCGCGCACAGGGTGTGAAGAGGACGAAGGGGCCAAACAAAAAGAAGAGGGGAGGAGAGAAGGTGTCAGAGCAGGGGATAGACACAAAGGCATGCACAGGAGAGTCGCCCACTCGTCGTTAGCCCGGGGGGGGGGGGGGGGGGGGGGGCACAGGACGGGCACAAACGTACGTTCGACCGGTTGGCGAAGATGCCATGGATGACCGACAGCGAGGCAAAGACAAAGGACGGCAGGATGCGGTTGATCTGCTCGAAGCAGGCGTCGGCAAGGAACTTGCGGGTCTGGTTCAGCAGAGCGTAGTGCACGCGGAAGTTGTCGGACTTCAGCAGCAGGACCAGGCGGGCCAGCAGGTTGGACGCATACTCCACATCCTCGGCATCGAAGTCGTCGTCGTCCTCCTCGTCGGCAGGGGGGTGGCCCTCGGCGACGCGGGCGGCGGCGGCGGCAGCCGGCTTCAGCTTGATCAGCGGCTCCAGGAAGGTGAACACATGGCCGGCGGTCTGCTTGGTGGTGATGGCCTCAATCGGAGCGGCATCGTGGCTGCGCAGGCGGTGCCCGGCCGGGAGGAAGGTCTCGGCAAAGCGAGTGGCAAGCTTCCGGCGGTTGGCCATCGGCAGGAAGGCAAACAGGGTGTGCAGATTCTCGACCGACACCAGATCCAGCGGCGAGGAGGCCAGCTCGAAGCACGTGGACAGCAGGGTGTGCAGCTCGGAGGTGGCCTGGCGGTCGGCCTTCAGCGAGGTGAGCTCATCGACCTTCAGCTTGGCCAGGGCCAGCTGGAAGATGTGGTCCACCTGGGTCAGGTCGCCAGGGGCCAGGGCCAGGGCCAGCTTGGCCAGCGAGCCGAGGATGGAGAAGATGTCGCTCGGGGGGAGCTCCTGGCGGGACTCGATCAGCAGGCGGATGTTGGTCAGGAAGATGTCGAAGATCGGCACATCCAGCCCGGCCAGCTGGGCCTTGTCGGCCGAAGAGGTGAAGGCCGCCAGGCGATCGATCATGGCCGTGATCAGGTGGCGCAGGTCCACCTGCAGGGTCAGCATCGGGCAGGTCTTCATGAACTCCTCCAGGGTCTGGAGGTGCAGCTCATCCGGGAAGACCCGGGTCACCACCTCCATCAGGTACTCCTGGGCGATGGGGTCGCGGCAGTCGACCACCTGCTTCAGCACCTGCGGCAGGACCTTCTCCTTGTAGAGGGGCAAGTTGAGGCCCTCCAGGCGCGAGAGGCACTCCAGGTTGAAGCCCACCAGCACGCGGAGCTTGCTGCGCTCGGCCTCGATGCGCTCACGGTCCTATGTGTGCATGTGTTTGTGTTTGTGTGTGTGTGTGCAGCGGGCAGTGGGGAGGACAATGAGGAGAGGGGCACATGGGCAGGGGAGACGATCAGTATCCGGGATGGGGAGGGGCGCCAGTGGCACAAAAAAAAAGCCCCCGAACAAACACCAGGCAGCAGACGTACACGCGTGTGGCCCTGGAACTGCATGCGGACCCACAGCTTGTTCATCTCAACGAGGTTGATCAGGATAAACTGGATGGAGTCCTCCACGGTGGCCGAGGTGTTGGAGTCGATGTCGGGCAGCTCGTTCTTGGTGCGCTGGAGGAGGTAGTTGCGCAGGAAGAGCCCACGAGTGGGGTGCTGCACACCACGGCACATCTCCACCATGTCGGTGAGGATCTCCTTGGCCACGGTCTTGTTGGTCTTGAGGAAGGCAGTGCCGACTGGTGTGGGGATGTCAGAAGGGGTGCGCTTGGGCGTGCATATACTCCGGTGTCTTTTTTTTCCCGGGGAGTCGGGGATGATCGACAGCCGGAAGGCGAGAAGGACAACGCACCGGTCACCAGCAGATACAGACGAGGGACAATGTTACCACAGTATTGGACAATCTCGTAGAGGTTCTCCAGCGGGGTGCGGTTGTCCTGGTTCAGCAGGTAAATCTCGAGGTAGGCCAGCTGCTCGTTGGTGAGGAGGGCTGGCGGGGGGAGCCAAGGGAGACGGGCGGGGAGGGGTGTGTGTGGGTGTGTGAGGAGGGGGGGGGGCGGGGGGAAGTGGGTTAGTTTTCCTTCGGTCTCGGGAGAGGATGGCGGGGGCGAAGTTGTGGAGAGAAGAGAGGCCCGCGTCGAGGGGAGAGAGAGAGAGAGGAGTGCGCACAGAGTTCGTAGTACTGGTCGGGGGTGAGCTTGTCGGTGTGGAGCTCCTGAAGCATCTTGATGCTGTGCTCCAGGGCCTCGCGCCACTGGTTCTCATCCTATAGGCCGGTGAAAAGAGAGGTGAGTGAGAGGCGGAGTGGGTGGCAGGGCAAGCGGCCGGCGGGGG